TCTTTCTTTGGTAAGTGGTTCCATCTGGGTATTCAGGGAAGACTCTAATTAGCCTAAGCCAACATTTCTCAATCTTAGCACGATGGTCATATTGGGTAGGAAAATTCTTTGTGGTGTGTACACTCCTATATATTTTAGCATGTTTAGCATCCTCTCTGGTCTATACACACTAGATGTCAGTCAGCACCCTATGCCCTAGTTATTGACAGTAGCTCCAGATGCCAAATGAGGGGTTGGGACTGCTGCAACAGACTGATACACAGGGGAATTTGAGAGAGATCAGTATTCAAATGGAGTGTCCCTTAGCTAAAATGGTTGGGACTAGAAGTACTTTGGATTTTTGCACCCTTACAGATTTTAGAATATTTGTGTATACATAATGAGATACCTTGGGGTTGTGACTTCAGTTTAAATACAAAGCTAATTTTTGTTTCATATATACCTTATGCACGCAGCTTGAAAGTCATTTAGTTCTGGGTATGGAGTCTTGGACCTGTTGCCTTCTAGGCAAGTGCTTTATCAGTGAGCTATATCCCTGAGCCCTGAAGATAATCTTAATACAGTGTTTTAAATAATTGTTGCATAAGTATTTCATGCTGTGGAATTTTCCATGTGTGATGCCATATCAGTGTTTAAGATTTTGAAGCATTTCAGAGTTTGGATTTTCAGAATAGGGAAGCTTAACCTGCACCTCAAAGTCTAAAACCTGAGAAGTCCAAAAACCTGAGAAGAGGAGCCCCCAAACTAGTCAGAAAAAAGGTTGAAAATGGCTGCACCTTGAGACCATAGTGCTAAGTGAAATAAATCAGACACAGTCTTAAATATTGTGTGGTTTCCACAGAGATAGTGAGCAAAATGGAAGTCGTGATTCGAGACTCTAGAGCAGAAACTGACAAAAAAATAGATGAGCTCAGGACCATGATAGAAGCCATGAAGGTCCAGTATAAGAAAGAAATGGAAAAAATAAATGCCCAACATAGGAAAGAAATGGAATACATAAAACAGATTCAAACAGATATCCAGGAGATTAAACACTCTATTGAAAGTGTATGCAACAGAATAAAAGAATGCGAAGATAGACTCTCAGATATAGAAGATAAGATTGCAGTCAGTGACCATGAAAAGAGAGGTCTCTTAAAAACAGTAAGAGATCATGAGAAATCGATCCAACAACTCCTAGATGATGCAAAGAAGAATAACATAAGACTGATAGGAATACATGAAGTAGCAGGAGAAAATACAAATGACTTAAAAAAGCTGTTTACAGAATTAATGACAGAAAACTTCCCAAACAGAGGGGAAGGATTTGACATTCAGATAACTGAGGCGTATAGGACCCCAACTAGCTACAATCAAAAAAAATCTACACCTAGACATATAATAATCAAGATCCCAGAAACCCAACAGAAGAACAAAATACTATGAGCAGTAAGAGAAAAGAAACAAATCACATACAAAGGAAAGCCCATCAGAATCACAGCAGACTTTTCAACACAAACCCTTGGGGCAAGGAGAGCCTGGAATGAGATATTTCAAGTACTAAAAGAGAACAACCTCCAACCTAGACTGATGTATCCAGCAAAACTCTCTCTCAAAATGGAGGGGGAAATAAGACACTTACACAACAAAGAACACCTGAGAAACTACATAAACACCAAACCAGCACTACAAGCAATTCTAAACAAGATCCTAGAAAAAGACAACGATGGCAACAACACCATGAGGCCCAACAGAGCAAATCAAATAGGCAAGGCAAGAAATTAAAAGGAGAAGGTGCAAAAGTAAAAAGAGTCAACAAAAGGCCAATAACATGTCAATCATAAGTCAGTACATATCAGTTATAACCAGCAATGTCAATGGCCTCAACTCACCAATCAAGAGAAATAGACTGGCAAAATGGAATAAGAAGCAAAATCCAACAATATGTTGTATACAAGAAACACACCTAGTGCAAAAAGAAGCCCATAGACTGAAAGTGAAAAGATAGAAAACAATTCTCCATGTGACAGGAGCCCAGAAAAAAACAGGGGTAGCAATCTTATTTGCAGACAAAGTAAATTTCAAACCAAAACTGAATCTAGTATTATTGATGTAGGACAGTACTGTATCATACCTCTATGAATGTAAAATATCTAGTACCTGCTTTATGATACATAGTAGGGACTGTGCTTTATCAGAGCTACATTTAATGATATTACTCTAGAATGTTCTCTTTCCAGATGATGATTATGAGGCTAATAGAAAAAAATGGTGCCAGGTACCACAACAGCAACAGAACTTTGCTGTTGTCTGGATATTATTCTTTTCTTTGTTTTTTTTTTTTAATGGAATGTGCTGAATGTCTATAATTTTGTTCAGATGACTGCAGAA